TGCACGTTACATTCCACATTCGTTTATCAATGGGAATAACGCTAAAGCGCGCTTCTAAGTGCCAAATGAGTCAAATTTGGCTGCACAGACAAAATTGTTGGTGCCGAATGGCAGTTCCCCCATATGCAGACAACATTAGGCAGCTAAAAGCTTTGCCAGTGCCATAAAGTTAAACCATATGATTGTTGCTGCTATTAGAGGAGATGGATAATCTCAATCTGACATGCCGATAGCACAGAACTGGTAAGCTATGGTGGCAAACGTCGTTAGGTCCACAATTTTCCATGGCAAGAATGGATGCCAAACATGCTGGTTGGGCTAAGAAGTGAAAGACAGCTATGAATAATTAGGTGCTCAATGCTAAAATGGGCTAGGTGCATATGGGATTACTGCCAATATGGGACAACTGCCAATATGGGACAACTGCCAATGTGTGCTAACAGCCCTGAGTTATTGGTCATTAGGTTAACCAGTTGATGTGAATATGCTATGTCCAATGTGATTTTAGTCCATAGCTTTTGATTACATATAGATGGCACCACAAATGCTTAGTCGCCAAGGAGTCAGTTGCTAGTCCAACTTGATCTCACCTGTTTACCTTTTTCTTATTTTTGGAAACTTTTTTGCTTTATCTTTTAGTGCTATTAGTATTACTGACAACATTAGAATAATCATAATGTCAATGATCAAAATAATAACTGTATTGATAGTATCTGAATAACTTTTTCCACAAAATATATGGAATGGAGAAATCAAATGAGGTCAGTTATGCCTACTTCCCAACTCCTTGATGACCATGCACTTGAGGAGCCATGTGCATAGAGAGTACTCAAATAAAAAAAATGGGACATTAATGTACCAAGAAAGAATGGGTGAATGTCAATACTATTCTTATGATCATTGACATTATGATTACCATTACATTATTAACCCATTCGTCCCGGGTGTCACATATATGAGACACCGGGAAAAATAAACAATGTCAAGCAGATCGCCAGTGCGATGCTGTCTCGGGGCTGCGCTACGAGGCAGAAGCGGCGTGCGGCCAGGCGGGCGGATAGACTCCGGGGAAGCTCCGCCCGCTGATTTTGTAGCCACCAGGATTTTTTAAATTTTGGCTACAAAATGTACCCGGCGTGAGTGGGTTAAAATACTAATCACAATATACATACGTTTTTTTTCTTATAATCAATCAAGAAAAAGGGTAGCCAAGCGAGACAGGTAGGACCAGTGTTTGACACTTGGGTCACTGAGCTCTTGTGGAACAATCTTTATGTAAACAAAATTAGTAAACTACAATAACTATGGACATGGCATGCATTCCAGCATTAATAGGTTATGTTTCACTTCCTAATCATTTTCCTTCTAGTAGTAGACTTCATGGGGTTAGTAAGAGATACAATTTGAGAACCATATTCACTTAACCCATTCAGGGCAGGTACATTTTGTAGCCAAAATAAAAATAATCCGGGCGGCTACAAAATCGGCGGGCAGAGCTTCCCTGGAGTCTGTCCGCCCGCCGGCCACAGCCCGCTGCTGAGTCGGAGCGCAGCCTCAATACAGCGTCACACTGGGTGTCTCATATATGGGACACCTGTCATGATTGGGTTAAAATGCTTCATGACATACCTGGCATATTTGTCGTCATGGGAGACCTGATGCTGCTGGTGAGAAGACACTGCAATCTTGCCATGGTTATTGTTGACGCAAGTTGCACAATGTCTATCTTTGCAGCATTTACCTAGAATATAACCACAGATTACTTTTCTGGTCAAACTGAATGAATATGTTTGCCTAACTTCTCTTGCTACATGCAAATACTCAGTATTTTTAAAGATTAGCTTCCTACTTAACACATCATTGCATTAACAGTCACACAATCACAAGTGCTGGCTACTGGGTTGAGGCTGAGGACACATATTCAACAGCAATTACTATACCTCCTGCTTCATCATCACTATCACTGATAGTGATGACTGAGACTGCAGGAGAAGGAGTGTCACGGATGGTGATGGTCTGCTGCCGGCCGCTGCCTCCCATATTTCCATTGTAACTGCTGCTGGAGTGCTGCTGACTGTTGTGTGTTTGCTGTGAAGGTAATCCAGGATGCCCACCTGTTGCAAAGAGATGCAAGTATTACATACACCCATCAACCTGTCCACTATATATTGAACTGTATGTTCTAATGCAAATCAGTGGCAAAATATGTGACAAAAGAAAATCATTGCTAAAGAATTCAGCAAGAAAAAGAAGAAAAACAGATGCACAATACAATTTTTCTTAATAAAACATAAAGGAAGAACTATGTACAAACAACATCAGATATGGGTGGTTAAACATAAAAATTACTCATTCAAACATTGGATTATTACAAAGATGGGCCAAAGTTACAAGGAGTATACAGCATTCATTTCCTGGATGCTCAACTTACCATTGTGAGAATTATGACTGCTACTATGGCTTTGGTGGCCTGTATGGTTCCCATGAGTGACAATGTGAT